CATCGCTTCATCGTTTGTAAAATCGGCTGGTGTGCGGCGGCCTTTAAGTCTACGTTCGTACACAAGTGGTTTTACAAGATTCAACACGTGTCACGTGACTGACTCAGACTATGAGTATGCCATGTGCCTGACACCCCCGAGACGAGTAAGCGACAAATCGCCGAACGAATTAAACTTACATTTATACCCAATTTAGCCAACTAAAAGCAACTAAACCTTACGTGTCATCAAGTACTTTGTCTAGTGCTTCCTCCATACTCTATTTTTTCGTTTTTACTGCATATATTTCGCGCTCGTTGCTAATATTTGAGGGAGCAGAAATGACACAAACCAAAAAAAAAATTGTTGTTTTGCCTACCACGTGAAAACTTTCCATAATTCACCCGTAACACCTATTATATTTTAGACGGGTAAAATTAAGTAATTACCAATGGCACTGATGGGTGTCTTTTAATAATATCTCTATTTTGAATGTTTTCCTACGTCATATTTCCTTTTATGTGGTGAAATCTAACTATGAAATCGCTCGGCATCTCTTCATACAGGCACGAACCAGACCTCTCCGTGACTCCGTCTATCTCATGTGTTACGATCGGAGACTAAGTAAACAACAACAACAAGAACAATCGTCGAGAAAAACCACACGTTTCGTTTTATGGGGGGTCCAATACGGTGTCCTTCTGTCCGTCAGTCTTTCACCTTCGCGTGATCTCTCTGCTGCGGGCACGATTGCTTGAAAACCAATAAGGTGAGCTACTAAAATCAGGTAATAAAGAAATCCGGGTACAAGTAGCGTTTACACACCCATGTCCTGAGTTTGGTTAGGGTTAGGGTTAGGGTTAGGGTTAGGGTTTTTAAACCTGGGGTTGTCAAATAGGAATGGGCCGAAATCCGGAACTGCGGAAGACTCCGACGCATACACAATTAAAAAATTCTTAAAAAAGTTTTGGATGAAACTGAAAGGAAGTAGATCGCTCAATGAATAAATGAGAGTGTTATGCCAAATAAAAAGTGGATCGTCGTCTTTGTTGAAAACTGTCTCGTACTTTTACTATGCAGTATTCCGAGTATATATTGATTATTGTATTGTGATCTTCTGAGACTGAGTATAGTATTAGTAATTAGCATTACTATTACTCACTGTATTACTATTACTATTACTATTAGTTGTTTTAGTTTCTCCTTGCAATGGACTTCGCAGTCAACTACGCTGCATATATATCTATATCTATATAGCCCGAGAAAGAGAAAAATTGCGAGAGAGTGCGTGAGTGCGTGTACGCATCTCCCTCTTCATTCCTCCCTCTTTTCTCTCCTCTTTCCTTCTGCCTCTTATCGGTTAAATACGCACACACGCAGACAAAAACGCACGCGCGCACACACGCATACACGCTCGCACACACGCATACACGCTCGCAAGCACCCACACACATGCGCGCGCGCACACACCCACCGCACGCACACGCGCGCAGTTGTCTCTCCCTTCCTCTCAGTATTTTCCTCCCCCCTCCTCCATATAATATGGCCAACGAGCAGTCAAGCATGAAAGATTTTCACGAGCCAAACGGCTGTGTTTCTACCTGAACTTCACCCCCCCATTGCACAAAAAGTGGATTTACGGCTATAATACGCGTTTTTACAGTCACAAAATCACACATACACACACGCGACCGGGCGCGCACACGCGGGTATGGTTACGCGTGCGCGTGTATTATAGGCGTAAATTCACATTTTGTGCCGCGGGGAGTGAAAAAGTTTCGGCTGAAATACGGCCATTTACATGCAAATGTTTTTCCATGCTCGACTGGTCGTGGGCGATACTATCCGCGAGAGGGGAGTAAGGAAGTGAGGAAGAGAACTAAACGGAGAGGCAAGAAAAATTGCTAGAGAGCGAGAGAGAGAGAGGGAGTGAGAGTTACAGAGAGGGAGAAGAGTGAGCGAGAAGACGAGAGAAGGATTAACAGACAAAAAGAAATAAAATAAAAAAAGGAGAGGAATTGCCAGGTGCACAAATCGACAGTCTCACTCTATGTGAGGTTGTGTTGCTGGCATAACGGTTACAACGCTAGACTGCTACCTGTGAAACTGGAGTTCGAATCCAAGAAAATTCGGTGCTGAAATATTTTCTAACTTTGATAAAAGATAATGATTCTTTTAGTGAGGAATAACTATTTCGATACGATGTTCAAAAAGCAAGTTCACACTAAAACACTCCAATGCGACAGACAATACAAAAAGGCGAACAGTTCCGTGCTTCACTTATGTACAATTATATTTCGTACTTCTGCCTTTTTTATTATGACAACAGACTAACATAACAGCCAAGATACATTCGTCGATTCGTTTTCTTCATCGCCACCAGGCGGCACCACTACCACAACAGTGTTCTGCATTGCTTTTCAATGTGGTTTCGGGAACGAAAAAAAATCCATCTACATCGTATTTTCGTAACAATTTCGCTGACGACAATAATTGATTGGTCGATTTGGTCGGCAAACGCTGCCTCCAAGTTAAACCGATAGTAGACTTTATATTCTTATAAACTCTCTATTACAAATTCTCTCTGACGATACCAGACAATGACAACAGACAATGACAATTGACAATGACAATTGACAATGACAACAGACAACAACGAAAATGACGACGACAACAGTGAACAATTCTTCATTAGCATTCGTCGTTCGTGAACTCCAAGGAACAACAACGATCGGTCGATCGATGGCCGTTCATCTGCCTCCGATGAACGAACATTCATGCTGTTCGTGGCGCCCCCTGGCGGTCACGGGCCAGACGGAACCTTGTAGATAGCAGTCGTTATTCCGTCCTTCGCTCTGATCAGAATGTTCCTGCGAAGAGACGAACAACAGAGGCAATTGTAGTGCGAGAACCACCCGAACGCACGAACACATACGAACACACGCGAACATGCGCATAGACTGGCTCACCCAGAATCGCTCTCCAGACAGACAATAGGTGGCGCCTCTGCATTCGCTTCCAGTGCCTTCGCGTGATTGGCTAGCGTCGCTATGAGTCCAGAACTGTGAGCTGGAGCATTGCCTCTAGCTACGAGATAAACAACAGAAGCACATAAATGTAAACATAAACGCATAAACGTAAACATAAACAAATGCATAAACGTAACATAAATATAAACGTAAACATATAAATGTAAACATAAACGCTCAAATAAACATCAATTAGCAACCCTCGACACTAACGGTTGTCCGATTGCACGGGACAAGTGTCGGACAAGTTATTCTCTTGTCTAGTTGCCCGATCGGACAACTGAAAAATTCTAGTTGTTTAATATTCCTAACATCCTTTGAGAGAGGGCACTATCGCACCACGTTCTGACGTCAAACGTTTTCAAAGGTCGCTGAAAAAAGCAGCCCGCGACACCCACTGTTACCATTACAGATTTATTCAGAGCGGCAGCGAGTACCTAGCTAGCTCCCTGGCCGGGGCGACATTGATTGATGTACTGGGCGAGGGGGTACGATTGTTTAAAAGCGACTTGGGGCATGTTCATTACTGAATATGTAGGGGGTGGGCATCGCTGGGATGAGAGGACGACAGCAAAACTCTTTCCTGGGATTGAGGGAAAAGTTGCAAGCGGGAATGACACACAATGAGCGTGCCGAATTCAATTCAGCGTGCGAAAAATTCCGAATTCCGAAACGTGTCTGGTCCCAAGGGTTTCGGATAATAGATTGTGTACTGTATTATATATACGATTGACTCATGCATCAGGAAATCGTGTCATGAACTAGCTTACCTCCGAGGCATAATCCTAGTTTATCAGTACATAGCACCCCTGTCACTCCCGGCATGTTCATCCTAGAAAACAACAACAACAACAGCAGACGCTAGTTAAAATGGATAAACCTCGCAACAAAAAGCCTACA